TTCCACTACTTGACTATAAATGAGTTTTTGGTTATCTTTGTTAAAACCCCAGTTCTTCCCTGCTAAAAAACGAAGTAAATTGGCAATCCTGCTTGCCTTGTTGCACACATAATCTATGTGGGGGTTCCATTTCATCCCCTGGTCAATTATGACCCCTAAATATTTAAGCTCCCTGGTATACGGGATACGTATATTTTTAATCCATAAAGACGGTGGTTTGATAAGTTGCCGTCCCCTGGTCATCAACATGCATGCCGATTTTTTTACGTTTATGGTTAATTTGTTATTTTCACACCATGTAGTAATATATTTTAAAATCTTATTTATTTCCATTTGAAGCTTCTCACTATTGCTTTTAGAAGCCATAATTAACGTGTTGTCGGCAAATCCCTGTGAGCACCACGTTGCGTTTATGTTATTTGAGTTAATGCATAGAAGGCCATTATACATTATATTCCATAAAAATGGACCTGACTTCGACCCCTGCGGGCAACCCGCCGACATGTGTTGTACAATAGAAGGGTCGGTTTCATTAACACTTACAGTCCTGTTGTGAAGGTAATCTTGTAAAATAAGGTAAAGATTCTTCGGACAATTGAATTGTTTAAGTTGGTTAAACAACGCTGGCCACCACAGGGAGTTAAAAGTGTTTTTAAAGTCAATTGCAATAAGTAAAACATGATGATCTTTTGACCAGGCATTCTTAATAAATTGGGTTGCGTTATATAGGGCGTGATAAGTAGACCTTCCCTTAGCAAAGCCAAATTGCCTGTGGTTTAACATTTTATTTTTATTTAAATGATAGTTAATGCGCCCTATGACAAGACCGTCTAGGACCTTACTGATCACTGTAAGGAGACTGATAGGCCGGAACTGAGATGCGGAAGAAGGGTTCAGCTGGCCAACTTTAGGAATGAATTTAATAATTGCATTTTTCCATGATCTCGGGAAGGTGTGTTGTTCTAAGCACTTGTTAAACGTATACACAAAAGCAATAGGAATTGCCTGAAAGGCCATTTTAACAGTTTTTGGTGTTATAAAGTCATCCCCCGGTGCTTTGTTGTTTCTGATAGAGTTGATTGCCTTTTTGACTTTGTCGAAGGTAAACGGCAAGTCATCGTTAGTGGAAGGGGGAGTTTTGACGTTATTCCTAATGTAAGATTGGATATCCGTATCCCTATCAGAATTGTCCTTTGGGAAGTGAGTATCCAACAGATACCTGAAGGTGTCCGAAAGGTCAGTGGTATGCTCGCCGTTCTCTTTTTGTATGGTGGTTGGAATGTTCACAGCTGTCCTTGCCTTCAGAACGGTGAAATATGGATCACTCCAAGCCCTTTTATTGCCGATTTCTGAACAGAATTTTTTCCAAGCGGCCGACCTTGTTGCATTAATTTGTTTTTTATATTCTTTATGCTTTGTTTGGTATTGTATTCTGTTCACTTCTTTGATGTTTGGGTCTTCCTCTCTTCTGAATCTTCTGTATAGCTCTCTGACTTTACGCCTTTGCTTATCTAAAGAATCCGTCCACCATGGTGCATTAACTCTTTTATTTTCAGTGATTATGGTTGCCTTGTCATATGCCTTTTTAATAGAAGAGACTAAGTGTATGGCCAATTCATTGCTATCAGTGATCTCTGATAGCATCTTATTTTCTGGAGATCCCCAATGATGCTTGAAATAGTCTTGAAACACAATCCAATTTGTTTTCCTTGTCTGATTGTAGTGTTTACACGTGATTTGACTATCAATTTTTATGATGGTTTTTATGTAGCGGTGATCACTGACCGATATATCTGCCAGAGTATTGCAGAATTTAATATTTTTAACAGCCTTGGCGTTTGCCAAGAATAAGTCCACCCAGCTCTCCCCTCTTGTACAATAGTACGTAGGTAGGGGGCTGGTATTACAAGACACCAAACCAGAACTGGCCATAAATTCACAAACTTTAGATCCCCTGGGATCTTCTTTTATGCTGTGCCAAATTGAGGATTTTGCATTAAAATCCCCACTAATAATCCAAGAGGCACCCTTGATAGTGTTGTCAATTTCCTGAAGATCCTGTATAAGGTTTTCAATATCCTCTGTTGGGGAACAGTATACTGATGATATAAAAAAGCCCTCATTTGCTAAGGTGACATAAGCCGTTGTGACATATTTAGAACTAAGATTTGGGCAGAAATTAGCCGAAAGATTGTTATTGCTGATCAAGATCCCAGCTTTTATAGTTTCGCAGAAGTTTTGATTTGGAAAGCACTTCCAGCGGCCAAAGCGAACAATAGAGTTATCTACCAGAAACGGTTCTTGTATTAAAACTATGTCGGCCTTGTGTTCATCAACCATTTTTTGGACATACGATGAAGCCGCTTTGGATTTTTGAGAGTTTATTGTGAGAACAGTAAGCTGGTTGTAAAGCCCATTGCCAGAATTGTAAGTTGGGTTGCTAGTAGAAGGCTGTGTAAGGTTGGCGCTCTGAGTAATGTTCCTGTTTCCACTACAAGCCATAATCTGTTTGTTTTACAAGTTGTGTCTTAATTCTTTGTAGTATGGTACAGTGTTGATGATAAGCGTTGTGGTTGGTTGGGACTTTCCTTTCTGCTGGTTGTCCTTTATTGAACTTCTCACAATTGATGCAGCAAGCTATTTTATTTCTATTATTGCACTCTTTATATTTGTGGGCCCTGGTACAGTGGCTGCACCGCAAGCTTTCTTGGCAATCTTTTGCCATGTGATAAAAACCACAGCACTTAAAACAGCGAGTGATTGGGATGAAATCGTCCGTGCGAACGTTGGCCCAGTTAATCGATAAGTATTTGACTTTTATGCTGATGCTCCTTATATTGGGTGTTACCGACAATACTATGTTACGACAATTTTCCTTGATATTGCCTCTGGTCAGTACTGTACTAATACGGCATTCTTGTTGAAATTTTTCCAGGGACATGTTGTGAAATATATCATTTTGTCTATAGATTGTAGTGATTAAATTTTTCGTTTCGGTAGCGTTGGGAACGTTTAATAATATTATTCTGGGCCTTCGCCCTTCGCTGATATGGCATTTTATTTTACTCTTTATAGTGTTTATTTCCTCAATGGCCTTTTGCAAGACTCTTCCCTCATTATTGTTATGAACCCTTATGCAGATTCCCTCGTTTCTTATCTTTCTAATATTCTTAACTCGGATTCCAAGCTCTTGAGGTTTAACCTTTTGCATGATTTCTGAAGCTATGTCCTCGCTAGTTAATAAATTGTCAGCATTGTCGTTATTTTCCATGTTTGGATATACCAAAACCGCATGGTTGCCGCCCATGCCTTCATTATGTATCTTTGCCGACAAGGATTTAGATATCGATTTTGTCGTATTACTTGGTTTTGTGCCTGTGGCTACCACCTGGGCATAAGACAATTGGGTGGAAATTGTTGGTAAAGCTGTTGGCAAAGCTGGTTCCCTTTTTTTATTGCGGATTTCTCTTAACATTCCGTACATCTGATTTAATGCAGCAAACATAGTTGATGCCATTTCCCTAACCTCTGCTCTCTCTTGCACTCTCACCGTCCTAGACTGGGGACACAATTCAAAAATACATTCGAGACAGAGTGCCGCCTCTTTAATGAGGTATTCTTCCGTGTTCCCTGGGCACTGCGGGTCCCCATTGGGACCACTATTATTTATGTTGCCATTAACATTATCGCCTTCCCCTTCTATACCATTTGTTTGGCCATCAAGAGTCACTTGAAGTAACCCTTCCTGTGTTATATCCCCTATCTGACTAAGGTCTTCCATTATGTCTTCCATAGTGAGGGATTAATAAAATGCCAAAATGTCGAAAAGCAAAATAATCACTAATAATAACGAAATAATGATAATAAAAATAAAATGACAAAATCAAATGTCAATGAAAACCAAAATAATAAGTTTAATAAAATAAATGCAATTAGAATCAATTTAATACTAAATAAAACCCAAATAAAGTTAAATACGTTTAAAACGCCGTTNTAATCACTAATAATAACGAAATAATGATAATAAAAATAAAATGACAAAATCAAATGTCAATGAAAACCAAAATAATAAGTTTAATAAAATAAATGCGATTAGAATCAATTTAATACTAAATAAAACCCAAATAAAGTTAAATACGTTTAAAACGCCGTTTAAAAGCTGTAAAACCGTTGCAGATGCAGAGGTCAACGACCGTTACCAAGCCCGTTAGTTGGAGAAAAGCGAAAATTATAGCTTAATTTTTAACTTATTCTACTTTAAAAACTAGTAAAAATATCCCAACCAAAATTTTACAAGATGTTACTGTAATCCTAGACATACTAAAGAACGAAGATAAAAAAGCGGATGGCCCGCCGTTAGCCCGATACAGCCCGCTAAGCCCCGACTCAAATTAAAAACGCAAATTGTACCAAAACTAATGGGCCAATTTTAACCAAAATTACCCACAGTACTCAGTGTGGCAACCCTTTAAACCCCTGAGATTCAATCTGGAAAATCGATGTCCGGAGACCGGAAAAGTGGTCCGAAAAAGGTGACTTTTAGTCCGGTCCTAACTCCCGAAAAAGAGGTCGGAGACCCACAAAATTGGTATCAAACGATTCTTCTCTTTACCCTGAATCCAGCGATATATGGCACAACACAATAAATCCAATTTGAGTCGAGAAAACGTAATCCAAACAGGAGCTGAAATTTCTGCTGCCTCCCCAGATCGCGACTAAAAAGCGCTTTTATCGTCTACAATAATATAACATATTAAATTCATTGGATCAACAGGCTTCTGTAAATGAATGTAATCATTTCAACTTTATTTGTTAGATATGTTTCCAATATGTTTATCAATTGTAGTTTAGATAATAACAGTCAGTCTGAAAAATGCAATAACAACTAATTAATATAAACAACTGACATTAAAAAATTTTTGTACAGCAATAATTGATTTCATGTAAAATACTGAAAAAATAATGAATTTCAAATTATATTAATCTGCAATATCAATTTAATTTTAGAATCAACAGAAGATGTTGTCCCTACTGTTGGATTTTCTAGCGTGCAAGTTAAACATAATCAGTTTGATATTACTATTTTTGATCTTGGCGGTGGACATAAAATAAGGGGAATATGGAAAAATTACTATGCATCAGTTTATGGAATAATATTTGTGATGGATGCAAGTGAAGCGGAAAGAATAGATGAATGTCGAAAAGAAATAACTGTCGTTTTGCAAGACCCTAGAATTAGTGGAAAGCCAATGTTGTTGTAAGTTCAATTAACATGTTTTTGGTATTTTTGTTAACCAATTATTATAAGCTAATTAAAAATAACAAAAATAAATAAAACTAATAAAATTGTCAAATTTCTTAATACAGTAGAATTCCGCTAGTCTGAACTAATTGGGACTGAGCCCTGTCCGGATTAGCAGATTTTTGGATTAGACAAATAATTGAAATAATGCAGAAGCAAGCAGTAAAACAGGTCCAGTTTATATAGATCCAACACCATCAATGACTTTTGTTTCTGTTTTTGTGTGTAAGTACGGTATAGATCTGCTGTTTTAATAGGCCATGCCAAACACTGATTTATTAATTTTGTACAATATTAATACAATACTACAATAAAATACATCTTTTTGTACCATTAATACCATTTAAATTCAACTGGAAAATACAAAAAATGTATATTTTGCGAGCTAAAAAATTTCCACTTTACCAACTGAAACATGTTTGGATTAGTGGTGTTCGAACTAGCAGGATTCTACTGTAATTGTGTTATTTTGAATTTTTATATTTTATATCAAAGTATACTTTTTTGTTTTACAACAAAAGTAATTAAATGTAAATAGATAAACTTAACTAAAGATTAGATTAGGAAATTTTCTGAAAATAAAATAAAAATCAATAAGTAAAAATATGATTATTATAACAATGATTAAGTATAATAAAGTTTATTTTTTTACTTTATCATAAATATATCAGGAAAACAGAATTTTTTTGAATAATAACAAAACAATGAATGAATCTCTCTGGCACAATCATATGATTTAAAAAATTTATTTTCAAACTTAACTGAAAACTCCTTAACTTTTTTAAATCATTGAGCATTTAATTATATTAGCAATAAAGTTGATCCCTTAATTCACTTTATTTCGCTAATTTTATTGGATTTATTTTATAATTCAGTCAAAGCATAATCACTTATCAACTTTATCCAACAGTGTTTGAATACAAAATTTTGAAAAATTAAAATTTTAGATTTACCTACAAGTTCTTTTCATGAGTTCAGTCAGTTTTCATTTGATTTCCTAAGATTGATAGTTAGAAACCAAACATATTCAATGTTTAAATTCAATAATTATTAATTATCATCATTACAGATAACTCATAGTTCATATATTTGTATATATAAATTACAACAACCTGATACTTTAATATTGCCAAACAAAACATGAGTGACAGATAAGGTTATACCTGCATATTCAAAATAACTATTTAAAAGAATGGAGTCAGATTAATTATCCAATTCTTACTTAATTATATTGTAGAAAAATACACAAAAAATCTATTTTTCTTTCCTTTCTGACTTACAGAGGTTATATCACTTCAAAATTCTAAAAATATTACATCAGTAATGAAATAAAAATTAAAGTAAAAAAAAGTAAAAGCAAACCAACTTTGCAGAGAAAAACACTTTTATTACATTCATAAATCCCCTAAATGCATTTTGAGAACAATATTTGGCCTCCTCAGTGGAGTTTTTAGCATACAGTTTGAACTTTGACAATTTTTCATCAAGATTAACCATTACGAATTTCCACCTTTATATCCGAAAAAAGTCTCCCAGCATTCAGCTGTCAACACATCCATATTTAAATTAACTGTATTATTTTGCATAATTATGGCAAAATGTTCTTTAACTTTTCTTTTTACATTATTTATTTTCTTATAAACAATTTTTACATTTTAATGTTAATTTCACAATTAGTAATATAACAATGATGAAACATAGGAGAATTATTAATTTTTAATCTTACAGCTGCTAAATGTTCTGATAATTTGGTCTTCAATTTTCTCTTCATTTCACTAATATAGAAACTTGGAATATTACATGTGCATTCAAGTCTGTAGTCCTTGCCTTCTTATTCTAACGGGTCCTTTTTAATACCTCTTATAACCATCAGATCAGATAACCTATCATTTTGAGTTGGAGTCAGTTTAATTAAATTTTGATTTAAGAATTTTGTTATATTTTTCATATATGCCTTTTATATAAGGAAATGATACATACTTTTTGGTTTCTTGTTTTTCTTTCACCTTATATTTATTTAACATGAAATGGTTGTACCAATTATTTAGTATTTTCTTTGGATACCTGTTTAGAATATACTTCTTGTGTGTTGTTTTAATTTCCTGTTCTCTCATATCTGTTCTTTTTGTTCTGGAAAATGTTTTTCTTATTTCCATTAAATATATATAATGTTTTTGATTTATAGGGCAATACGATTTAAAGTTAATAATTTTTTTAGCACTACATGGTTTTTCAAATTTACAATATTCAAGGTGATCTATAAATCTTGTAATTGTTGTATCTAAATAATTTATTTTATTATAATTTTCAGTTTCTTGGGTGAATTTAATATTTGAATTAATATTTGAAGGTTATACCTGAATTAATTGGTATACTATAAGTAATATAATATACTATATACTATCTCTGGAAGCAAAGATCAAATGGGATCTGGGTTATACTATCCACATGTGGCAACATATCTACACAACAAGTAGGAATGGTAGGTTCAAATCCCACTCTGGGCTAATCCTTTTCTTCCAGAATTGTCTAAATTAATTTATTTCTAAGAAATTTATTAAGAGATGTGGACTAACTTCCTACCTCTAGGCTAGTTACTTTGATCCTAATCATTTATAGTATTTGTTTTAGAGATTTGGCATTTATTAAATTAGTCTGTTATATTTGTCTTTGTATTTTAGTTAATGTTATTAAAATTGTTTTTGAAACATTTTTATTTTCTATAATTTCTCAGCATTTTATCATTTTATTCTCAGATTAGTTAATAAACAAGATGTTCAAGGTGCCATGGATGAAACAGAAATATGCAATCTACTTGAATTAGAAAATATGGTAAACAAACAAGAATGTCCAACTCGTGTGGTAAGTTAATTAAAATACAGATTTATTCTTTATAATAAAATAATTTACTTTCTGAAGTTTGAAATCATTATCTCGTTCAGATCTCTCCGGACCTAGACTTTGTTCTAGTACAGATACTAATCAGGGGTTGCTCTGGAAAATTTTTAAAAAATTGCCAACTATTTTGCCAGTTATAAATTTATTTTTGCCATCAGTTTCACTTATTAATTAATGGAGGTATTGGTAGCCTCATCAGTTTAGAGTCTGGAAAATAAAAGTAACATGTTAAGCTGTCACTTAGAAGTAGAAATCATTTTTGAATAATTTTTTAATGAATAATTCTGAATAACACATTTGATCACAATGCTTAAACAGGTATTTCACATGTTATGTCAAAATTTTTATTTTAGTCTACTGAAAAAATCAAAGTGAAAAAAATTCCCCAAATTTTCTGAAGCTCAATAAAAAATCCCCAATCTGGAAATGCTGGATAGCATTGCATGAAAATTGTCTTTTGTTCTCAACATCACTTCTTGCTTTCCTGTCCGAACTTGCCACATGATGCCATGACATTGCTAGGTGTGTGGTGCACAGGATTTTCACTGCACAGGAGCTTGACATTTTGCTGTTTTTTCTGAAGCGTGCTTTGTGATTCAATTTCATGCTGAATGTCAAAATAAGTAAACTAGATATTTTATTGCCAGTATTATATTTTTATCTCCACTTTAATAAAAATATTGTAAAGTGGCAATTTTGGTTCTATGTAGCATGACCCCTGACTAATGCTGATTTAACAAAAAACTTCTCCCTGTGATATATACAGAGGGGAGTTTTCTGTTAAATCAACAATCAAATCATACATTCTGTTGTTTAATTTAAGCAGCTTGTAAGTATGTCATATTGTATTGCAGGATTCATTCATTGAAAGGATCACCCATTAACTTCCTCTGTGAAGTCTGCATGAATTTGTGCAAAGGGTTAACAAAAGGGAAGGAAGGAATTTGTGTAGGGATAGGAGACACAAAAATACTTCATTTTTGACTTGGAGTTGAAGAGACTGCTATTCATTTGCTGTCATAGCATCTATTTTTTAAGTTTAATTTTTGAAACTTTGGTTATATACAGATTACAGATTTAGTTTTATATTATTTTGAATAATTTTTATGTGTATATATACATTAAAAGCAAAATGTTCCATCATGGACACACACAGCTACCATAAATTAAAAAATTAATTTGATTTACATTTTGGAAATTTCAAAACAACTTTTAAATAGTTTTTAAAAATGCTTTCATTTTCAATTAATTTCATTTTTAATTTGGTTTTGGTGTAAAGGCCAGAGTTTTAATTTTAAGAACAACACACATTTAATGATGATATTAACGACATATTAACTATATTATTATTTTTGGTTTTAATTCATTTTTAGGTTTAATTTAGTTAGTATTAATTTAGTTTTAGTTTTTATAATTATTTTTAATAATTATTAATTTATTATTATTTATTTAATTATGCCTACATTTTTTTGAACCCTTAATTATAATTTTTTAATTAATTGCAACTCTTTTTTTCTTTTGCAACATAACTATAGAAATTGTTTGCATTGTTTTTGCACAAAAGATAATCAAATTTAAATTTTTTTTAGTAATTTTATGTGACCCAAAAAAGGTTTTACTTAACTTAAGCTTGAAAGAGGCAATTAGGAGAAAACATCTTGGACTCCTTAGTCGAGGATTTATTTTTCTCCATGAAAATACTAGACTATGTACAACACACCAGACTATGGCTTTGTTGCCCCCTCTGATTTACATTTTTCCATATTTTAAGTTGTTGTTTTACTACTGATGAAGAAGTGAAAACTATCATTGCTACAGCAACAAGGAAAGGAATTTTTTGAGGATAGGCTAAACAATCTTGTTACACATTGCAATAAATGCCTGAATAATAAGTTGGGTGGGAAATAATTAATTTAAATTAATAAACTTAATTTATTTATTTAAAAATGTATACATTTGAGTAAAATAATATTATGGAGTTATGCTACCAACTGAAAAAATTTTTCTTAGAGAATTGCTCAAAATTAAAAAGTTCTCAAGAACATGAATCGTAATTGCATTACATACAAAATAATCAAGAGTCAGTTAACTGGGATAACTAGTCTTAAAATATGTATCAGTAAATAAGAAAATATTTTGGTTATTTTGAGTGAGAAACCCATCTTCAGATATATTACAAATTTGAAAAAATATATAAAAATATAAAATTTTGAAGAAATGCCTTTTTATTCACATCAATGCTGTAAAAAGTAAAAAATAATTTTTTTTAGCTTTCACAGTATTTTTGGTATTATGTGACCAAAAATAAAAGCATGTGGTGCTCATTTTTACAAATATTCTTAGTTACACTTTCTATTGAATTTTAGGGGCTTTGCATGAGTGCCCACACTTTTATTTTTGGTTGCTAATACCAAGAATATTGTGAAAGATGAAAAATTTTTTGACCTATTAGTGCATTTATGTGAATAAAAAGCATTTCTTTAAAACTTTTATAAAATACTTTTTACTTTTAGTTTTATATATGAAACACTAAATTATCAAAATTCTTCTTGTTTTAGCATTTAATTGGGAAGAGGGTGAAATATTAAAGATTTTATATAGACAGTACAACTAAAAGGGGGCAAGGATTTGCCCTACTTGTAGCGCCATCTGATTTTTACAAATTTTAATTTTTTGTTAATTGCTAAAATTATTTGCAAACTTCAAAACACTGTATTGTCATTGGGAATACATATCTATGCAAAGTTTCAACTAGATAAGAAATTGGAAATGGGTGAAAATTGAATTAAAAGTTTTTGGACAGACAGAGAAAGTATGGGGTTTTCTGTAAATTTACTGTTTATTTTATAAGTTTTATAACAGGAATATTTGTTTAAATTTATTGTTTTATTAATAATGATACTTGTTTAAAACTTCAATTTACATTTATATGTATAGTAAAATCTGTGTGAACCAGAATTGCACGGTTCAAATATTTTTTTCTGGTTTGACAAGTTTGTTGTATCAAGGTTCCTCTTTGGACAGGTTTTACTGTATATATAAATTATATTTATACTTTTTTAATATGCATAGTATGTTTTGCAAATTTATAACATTTATATTTTTAATAAAATGTATTTTAGGAAACATGTTCTGCAATATCAATTAATAGTAAAAAGAGAGATAAAGGAATTGATAAAGGTTTTCAATGGTTAGTTGGACATATTGAAAAATATTACAAAGAACTTGAACAAAGAGTTCAAAAAGAAACTAATGAACAAAAAGAAAGAGAAGAAAAAGAAAGACTTGAAAGAATGGAAAGAGTGAGAAAAATTAGAGAAGAGAGGTATTGAAAATATACATTAAATTCTAAAGTTTATTTGATAGTATTCATTCTATTATAGTAGTAATAAATAAAATTAATTGAAAGCTTGATAATAAAACTAAAGTAAATTCACATTTATCAGTTCTTAAATAACTTTAATCAGTTGTCTTTTTGTGTTCATAAATCTTAGAAAAAAGGTTTTTTCCTGTCTTTGCCTATGGGGACTTTCTGTGGGTTCTATTCATACTCACAATGGATTCAGCCATGTCCACAATGGGGACTATTAGGTAATGAGAAATGACTGACATATTCAGGACAACACTCCCCATGAAAAATTCCTGGAGTTTGCCATTCAGATTCTCACAGAACACAGTCCTAAGCATGGCAAGATGCCTGACAAGATCCAAAAAATTCATTGTAAATATTTAAATATGAATCAAAAATGTATTTCTATTAAACTTACAGAATCATATAAACTTAGTTAATTACAGTCGACCCCTCCTATAACACGATAGATACGTGCTGCTTTTTATGAATCCATTTTCTACGAGTCCAGCCAATCACAGCCCGGCACAGTTTACGGACTATGGCTGTTTGAAAGGTTTCTTCCATAAAATTAATCGATTCTAGACTAATTCAACTCAGCATTTCCAAAATACGTATAATTTTTTGGGAATAATCCATGTAAACTATGCTATAAACAAAAAATTGTAGGATTACTTACCGAGTGTGTACTGTTCAACTACGCCATTGCTTAAGCTTGTTTTCATCGTGGATCTTGTCATCTAATAGCACTTGCGTGCTTCCTGATAAATTATTTTTTTGTGAAAAATTCGCTGAACTTTGGAGACATCATTAATATAAATATAATTTTTATGGACGTTAAATAATAAATGGTTTTTAGTAGGTCTGCTGCTCGTTTAAACTCAACGGTTTGTACAATATCCGCTATTGGTCTAGATTCGACCAATCCTGTCGCGACACGAGTCAGCAATGACATTTTACCGAATTATAAGAGTTTTTTTAGCGTGTTTGTACGAATACTGTCACAATTTTTTCGCCATGATATAGGAATCCGAACTATAAGAACCCGTGTTATAGGGGGTCGACTGTATATCAGAAATTAATAATTTTCAAAAAAATGGTGAATGTTATACAACTGTCAAATGATTCAATTTTACAACTTTTTAACTGAGAACCAAAAACTTTCAAGAAAGATAACAATCAAATTGTCATATGGTTGAAGTATTAAATGCTATTTGGTAAGATTTTGGTTGGAATCTATATTGTAATTGCAGAAATTTTCTATAAGTGGTTAGATCCTGATTTGTCTCTCATCATATGACATACTCATTGTGGTCAGACCCATGATAGGTATGAAAATAGGCTGTGCTTGTGGGATAAAGTACTTAAAAGGCCACAAAAGTTAAAAAAAAGAGCAATAATAATCAAAAACAACAAATAAATTGATTTAATATCTTTGATTTAATGGATGAACTATTTGAAATAAGCTATGTCTTACTTCAAACTAAATCATACATAGTAACAATATATAATAATTTCTCAGTCATACATTTATTAAATTATCAAATTTGATTAAAAGTTAAAAGTTCTGTATTTATGTATTCTAATTATTAATTAATTTGTAATACCATAAAGAAATCTTCTATAATAAATTTAAAAAAAACTTTTTTTGCTGTCAAAATTAGAGAGAAACAAGAAGCAGAAGCACAAAATAATGTAAATAATGATGGTGGCAATGATGAGGATGATGATGATGTAATCGTTGGATCTCCTTTTAAACCAGCTAGTAAAATCAGAGTAAGTTTCTAATGAAAATCATTATAATATATTTATATTATTAAAAACACATTTACAATTAATTTTTATACAGTGAAACCTTGCTTAATGAGCATATTTTGTTCCAGAATCATACTTGTAATGCAAAACAATTTTTCCCCATAGAAATTAATGTAAAATATGATAATGCGTTCCATGCCAAAAAAAATACTCAAATATTTTATATATAACGTTTATTCAAAGAAAATTCTACAATGTGCATTGTTAAGGAGTGTGAATTATCATCATCATCATTTCTTCTAGCACGGAATGAACCAACCTGAAATGAGAATTCGATTTGCAGAAAACAAAAAAAATCACAGATAACATGTTTAACATTTGATAAACACTCCAAATGATATGCCAGATTCTTGGGCTATATAAAAGGCTATAATTAAATAATAAAAACTAATTAATTTTACTAGAGGTAGGCAGTTATGCTTCCATCTCATATTAAATTTAATAATTATAAATAGTTAATTTTTAATTCAGACATTTCTAAAATTTAATTTGGAATTGGCCATTAAATTTAATTTGAGATGGCAACATAACTGCCTACCTCTTGTCAAATTAATTAATTTCTACTATTTAATTATAGACTTTACATAGCTCAAGAATTTGGCATATTGTTTGGCATGTTTATTATATAACGGGCTATGCTTGTTGATGTTTATATGTAATATGTGTGAACACAAGTTTGGAAAAATATGTGATCACAAGTGACACTATGATGCTAGCAGAACGAGTGCTAAATACAGACTGATGGAGCATGTGCATAATTCGGGACTTTCCCTCTCCTCTTCACACATTATGCAAAACATTGCTTAACGAGCAATGTTTTGCATAACGAGGTAAATTTTTACAATTTGTTTTGCTTGTTATGTGAGGTGCTCATTAAGCGAGGTTCCACTGTACAAGAAATTAGTAAATTGTCTAGATATATAATTCATTAAGAAGATTCAATGTGAACTGTAATAATTTGAAGCCATCAACTAAAATTACCTTTATAATCCAGCAGAGTGTATTTATAAAAAGAAATGTTTTCTGCCATCAGGATCTAGAACAAAATTATTTAAAATACAAATACACAATAGAACAAATAATACCCAACTGTTGGTAAAGATGTAAAAATAAAAATTAACAATATCTTGTTAACTTTCAACTCTGTGAGTTTTGTATTGAAAATCATTTCATTCTGGAATTTGATAATGGCCATTTAATATAGCTGAAAATATTTATTCTTTAAGTGGCAATCATACTTTTCAATTTTCAGCCACACAGGCAACTTCAGCTAAAAGAAAAGTTTGTTACTCTTGTGCTGATTACAGGTGAATGAACAAATATCTGTTTACATCACTGACCAATTAAAAAGGTGGCAGATTAGATTCCAAGTTGGAATCATGATTAATTAATAATATTGATCCATAATCATGAATGTCTGTAGAATTTCATTAAAATTAGAATTGTTTTTCTCTTTTCTAGAAAGATACAAAGGATGGATCTGTTTGGTTTATTTTTTTAATCATATGATGTCAATCTTAAGTTGTTTTAGTATCTCTGAAAATAGGGTGCATCTTAGATTTGATGCAATATACAGTATAATCTCTGAATAGCAGACACTGTTGGGACAGAAAACTTTGTCCACTATTTGGAGGTACATGCTGGTGGCCATATTGTATTTTAACCTGGTCATTTTAAAGTGAAGAATACGATGGATTATGAAAACATCAAATTTGCATTAGGAATGTGAATATACTGAAAAGTATACATAGCATATATATAATCAAAATATAAATTTAATATATTATTTATTTTTTCAGCTGTAAAAATTTCGTTTAATTGAATCTGTTTCGAATGTTGAGTTTTGAAAGTGATTTGCTATCCACTTCAAGGGATGGGAAATATATTCAGAATTGTTACATTTATAATCTAAGTGACTAATAAAAATTGATACAGGAATTTGTCTGCTTTGTAGTTATTGAGTAGGTGTAATTTTTTGAAAATTTTTTTTTTTGCTTTTTTCAGTAACTGATTTATTAAAAATCACACTTTAGCCACCACAAAGCTGTTAAAATGGTTACAGCAATAGTGTTTGTTTGGTGAAAGTTCAAAGGTTGTGTTACAAAGACGATTTACAAAGGCCCACTTTAAAATGTGGGAAGATATTTGGTTTTCTCACGTTGATGATGTAATTCATGTTCTGAAGTTTACTTTTTGTTACTACTATACTACTGTTCTTGTTGAATGAAACTTTGGAAAAGTTTATAGTTTTTTGGTATCATAAGCTTAATTCAAACAATAAGACAGAAGTTTAATAATATTAATATGTACAATGATAAATGGTGATTGACAACATAATTTCTCTAACAGATAAAGAATATTGTTTGACTAATTATAACTTGCCCTCCTCCCCTATTCCTATTTTAAGCCAGTCTTTAATTGATGCCTACAGTCAAAAATTTGTCATCTGAAAGAGTATTTGAACCTATTCTTTGTTTTTGTTTTAAAATACAGTAGAGCGTCGTTTATCCGAAAGCTGGTTATCCGAA